CAGGACAGTTTCAGCGAAGTACATCTGCGCCATATCTACTGATAGGGGTCCCATGTTCTTCAACAGGTTAGCGCAGTCCCCACCTGAGGGTCAGAACCGGTAAAAAGAGTGTGACAGCAGGAACACACCCCCCAGTGCTGGGCATCCCGCCCTGCAGAGGAACCCCATATTCCCTGCTAGACCAAAGTTTCCTTCAGAAACAAAGAAAACAAAAATCGCACATTCATTTTTCCACCCCCTCCCACCGATTTGGAAAATCCTTTCCCCAGGCTGGAGCCTGTAAGCTCTGGATAACAGCTGGCAATGTGATGACTGTACTGAAGGTGATGACTCGCCTTCCACGTACTCCATGACCATGCAGAGGTGGCGGCGCGTCTCGAAGGAGCAGAACATGCTGACCACGAAGGGGTTCTCGGCGAAGGTCAGGATGTCCCGCTCCACGAAGACCTGCTGGATCTGGTTCCGCAGGATCAGGTTCTGCCGGTTGATCTTCTTCATGGCGAAGCGCTGCCGGGTCTCCTTGTGTCTCACCAAATACACCGCCCTGGGGCAAAGGGGGACACCGCGAGCTCAGCGCCGTGCACAAGCTGCAGCAGCTGCTCAGTTTCAATTCTGTCTCCGAGCTACGCAACTTGAAGTTACTTCTCTAATGCTTTGCTTGGGCAGGGGCAGTCGTAGTGATTTTTCAGGCCCGGGCAAAAGTCCCAAAGGGTTGCCCAACCCCCCCCCCCCGACTTTTAAACCCCACTTTAAACAAGAATAAAACACCCAATTTTCACAGGTATGACATTTTCCCCAGGATTCACCAACCATTAGCGACACAGCCCAGTGGACACACATGTAACCATGCAGTAAAGGTATTAGTGTAAAAAAGAAATACGTGAATAACATCTGGGTGTGAACGCATTCTGTCAGCCTCTCGCTCTCTGCAGTGACCATTTTGCTCCCAGCTGTCACTTCATTCTGATCTGTACTCGGAAGAAAGCCGTGGATTTGGGAAATGCCGACTTTCCAGGAATTTCTTTTCCCACTCATTTGGTTTTGTGCCATTGCTACTGGCTAATTTAGTTCGGGTAGGCTACAACAAAGCCCCTGGCGAGAGCAAGGACATGTATGCTTGATTGGGAAAACAAGGCGACCAACAAACAGTGCTGGAGCGATTAACCATGTGAGGGCCTAACCACCACTGTTACAAAGCCTGTCATAACACTTTCACAGCAGCAGCACCGTCTCCAAAAGACCAACGATTGACTGACAGCAGTTTATATCTAAAACCCAGTTGGTCCTAGGAACAGTACTACTCATGCACTTGCACTTACAATTGCTTTCGCTTGTTCGCATTGTGCTTCGCGACAATAAGCTGCCATAAGTCTGTTTATACCAGGTGTACAAACACCGGGTCTGTTGCAAAGCCACATTAAATAGGATGGAAACACAAACACGAACAAATGAGCTGAATGAAGACCGTTAGTACTTGTCAATGAATCCTGCAGAGCACACATGTGAGATACAGTTCCTGTTTAGACACCTGCTGTGCAGATGGCTTTTGTAT